TAAGTAACTAGGTGTTAAACTTTAAAGAAGTAAAAGTATCATTTTTAGGTTTTAAAAGTAACTAAGTAAAAGTCATGATTTAAAAAAATACTTGGTAAAATACAAATCCTCAAAAAATTTACTGTAACAAAGTAAATGRACTTATAAACCTCTGTTTTTTTATCTACCTGCGCAACATGCTGGACAATATTTTGCTAACAGACACATGAGGGCACACTGACAACCAGAGGAAAGAGGAGAAAGGCAGGAGACAACAAACCCACCTGGAGCGCCACAAGAACCAATCATAAAGAGTTTTATTTCCTCGTTAGCAGGTGTCAATCCAACCGAAGCTTCATTAGTGTCACCTGATCTTTTTCAGTTGTGCTCCTTTAATCTCTGTTTCAGCGGCGAGGTTTTGGGGTCTGTGTGTGGCTGTTTGTATGTGTGCTGAGCTGATGAGTGGGCAGCAGTCACAGCTGTTCCCAGATGCACACGTGATGCCATTTGTCCCGCTCCCCCACACCTCTCTTCTTCTTGCAGAAAGAGAAGTGAGTCGCTCCTGGAGCATGAAATCAGGTACAAATGCAGAGTGTGTCGCAGCGGCCAGCTGGCGCTGAGGTCTCACTCATCGGAAACAATCAGGGGGAGGATTTAGAGTCGGAGCGGCCGGCCCCCGCTGGGTGTGGGTACCTGCAGGGCTGTTCAACACTGTCTAGAGTTTCAGAGGGAGCAAAGGGCGGAGGACCCACTTCATAAAATAAGTCAGATGAACAGAGAAGTTCATTTCCTTTCCTCCTCYTTTCCTCGTTTATGTTTTTGTTTTACAGACTGAGATATGGAGCACCAGCTGGTTGCAGCTGTTGGTTTCAGATCCAACGCTGCAGAGAGGCAGGATGGGCTTTACAAAGGGCTTACCAGAGCTGCAGGCCAGGGGCCTCGAGGTTTAACGGGACCCAAAATAGTATAATGTTATTGCCCAAAGGCAAAGGCAGAGCATTAATGTATTTGCATGTCTGTCTGTCTGCGTGTTTGTGTTTGTCTGAACTGTTAGAAACTTCTGTTGTCTAACCAACTCAAAATGGCCACCACAGCTAGTTCACCTCAGCGTCCAAAAAAAGGGCTAATTTTACAAATATTAAGCTATAATTTGCTGTGGTAGCTGTCAGTCACAGATCACAACATTACAAAATCAACAACATTTGAGCTCAATGGTGTTTTTCTGATTTGACCAAATTAGCCTCTAAAACTCTGACATGTAAGGCGGCCGGTGATGTGAACTCCATATTTACATCCTCATTACCTCCTGTTTTAGCTCCGAGCTGTGACCTCGTCTCACATTCCTCCTTCTCAGACATCTGCTCTCAGATGAGGGACACGCCGGTGGAACAATAAATAAAGATATGTGAACGTGACAGGCAGTCATGACTGAGCAAAGAGTGGAGAAATGTGTGTGTGTGTGTGGGGGGGGGGGATTACTGATATAAAAAGATCTCAATTTAATTCAAAATGTCCAAAACTGATTCTTATTTATTACATACGTAGCCCACCATGTGCCAGTGGGAGAAAAAAAAACAGCCGCTGGAAATTCGTGCACTCAATTTTGGCAATCCATGTGCACGGATTACTAATC